AAGCCCTACATGGCTTAGGCCCGAGTTACTTGAAGGAACGCCTCTCCCCACACAATGCGCCCCGCACTCTCAGAACATCTGGGAACTTATTAGAACATCATAGAACCAAACTCAACATGACTTCCCATAGATCGTACACAGCCGCAGCTCCCATATTATGGAATGGCCTACCAGAAGAGATTTGTCTTATTACTATGCTAGATGCCTTTAAGAAGGCACTTAAGACAGAGCTCTTCCAGTGGGCCTATCCATCTGATCTTCTAAACTTCTAGATTCTGACGATGATTGGCTATTTTATTTTATTTTTATTTATTATATTATATTCTATGTTCTTATAATTTATTACTGTTGTTTGATTTCACTATTTTATTGTTTGTATTTTGCATATTATATTAATTTAATTGTGTAATTTAATTGTGTTGTTGTTGTTGTTGTTGTTGTTATTATTATTATTATTATTATTATTATTATTATTATTATTCTCTGATCAGTGCTACACTAGGTAAGGGAAAAGCAGCAATTGCTAACCACCTTCACTGCTCAACAACTGATGAATCTGTAGGATATTAACAGGTATTTATGGGTTTAATCCATGAGATATTCTGACATTTTTTGTTTATATAAACTTCAGGTCTGTTCTAGTCACATATATCATTATATCTGGAGACTCTCATGGGTCTCTGATGAATTGAGGGAAATCCCTGATTAACTGATGGTGGTATACTGCTTCTAGTAGGATGCTAACGGCAAATAATGTAATGGAAATACAGGCCACACTATTTATGTAGTATAGTGGTTAGAATATTGGCAATTTGGACTGAGGCTTAGAAGATCCAAGTTCATATACAAATCATAAATTTACTGGCCTTGGCATGTCACTCTCAGCCTGCTTCACACGGTTTGGAGGATAAACTGGGGAGGAGAACAATCATATATGCCATCTTGAACTCACTGAAGGAAAGGATAAATGTAGCTTATTTTGCACTAAATTTAAGGTGCTGCAGTATGGTTTTTGTGTATATAATCAGGGAGTTTATCATATTGCCCACATTTGTCTCTTTCTATAGAACTACCAGAATGAAAAATCTTCAGAATAAATTTAAAATATCTTATAACATTGTATTTAACATTTAAATACAAACTGGTAATAAAATATTTAGGAAACAATATACTAAAATCTGTTTGGCTTGTCAAAGAACTACATTAGGTGGATATGCAGCTCTTACAAGATCTGAGCCATTTACCACAGACATACTAGTACAATGCGACCTTGTTATCCCACTGGGGTTTGGTTCCAGGACCCCCTATGGATCCCAAACTCCATGGATGCTCAAGTCCTATTATGTACAATGGTGTAGTAAAATGGTGTCCCTTATAAAAATGGCAAAATCAAGGTTGGCTTTTTGAAATTTATTTTTTTGGGAACATTATCAATCTGTGGATGGTCGAGTCTGTGGGTGCAGAATCTGTGGATTAGGAGAGCCAACTGTATTTTAAAGACATATGAAATGTCAGGAAAAGCAGTGTGGTATGGTAGTTTAAGCATTAGATTATGACTCTGGAGACCAGGGTTCAATTCCCTGCTCAGCCATGGAAACCCACCGGGTGACCTTGGAGTGAGTCACGCATTCCCAGCCCCAGAAAGTGCCATGGTAGGTTCACCTTAGGGTTGCCATATGTCAGAAATGACTTAAAGGCACACAGCAACAAGGTATCTACACAAGTCAAGAGAACAGTCAATGGCTCATCCTAAACCTCAATCTAACAAAGCTTTCATCTTACTTAGTCCTTGACAGCTCTCTATTCCCATTTTTTTCCAGTTTTACTCACACCCTGACAGCTTTCTGGAGATTCCCACTTTCAAAGCGTGACTCAAATAACAGCATAGTGTCTTCTGGGTCTGTCAAACAGTGTGCAGCTGGCTTGATGGATTCTCTTGACCCTCCAACTCGGGAACCAGTGAAACAGGTACCCTTGGTTGCTGTAGAACAAGAGGCACAACTTTCAACACAGAATTGCAGATCTTGCTCTCACTAACTAGGTCTGTACTGTATACCAATTCTGCAAAATCCATATTCACAAACACTGAGTTCTCTTTAGCAAAGATCACCAAACATCTTTAGTAGGCAAGACGAGGATTTCAATTTGGCTTTCCAGATGCTTTTTTTTTAACTAGGCAAAACTAAAAACCCTCTAACTGTGTGTGTGTGTGTCCGTGTCCTTTCTGCTGATGCCTGTTGCAGCACATCCAACTAAGGCAAAATATCTGGATGCATTATTGCTGATACCCTTGTTCTTCAACAACCCAGAAATGGTTGCATTAGAGAAGGATTGTGAAGCTTACAAGGTAAGATGAGGGAATATTATTGGGAGACATAGCTATGAAGACATAGCTATGTGTGACATATATGTCTCCTGATGCAGGGTCTTGACTGTATTTTAATTTACCAATGTATGTTTCTGTGCCCTAGGGAGTTCCCTGCTATTTCCCATCTGATCTCCAAAGGTAACGGGAGTATTCCTCCTGAAACTCACTTACACTCACTTAGGTGTGAACAGATGGGCAAGAAAAAGCAGCTTGAACCTGCATTTTCTGAAAGTGGTTCAAAACTCTGCACCGGTTGCTCCCAAAACAGCCTGAATGCACACAGCCTAACTGTATGGCACAGTGTGCTGCTGGATAATTTTTTTTGGTCATCTCCCTACCATGCATGTGCACCGTCGCACAAACACACTGCCGGCAACCATCTGCTGCCTAGACGCATCCCACTGAATGGCCACCCCTTTGGTCAGCCACACAGTTGCACCTGCAATTCTCCACCGTTACAGGGCACTGGAGCACCTGTGTGCCCAGTAAAATACTTGCAAAGCACAATCATGCTCCTCCTACATGCCCCCTTCACCCTATGCCCCCTGTCTGGTTTATGTTGTACTTATATCCATTGGAGGTGTCACACTATATGCAACTTTAGGGTTGGGGTTAGGATTAGGATGGACCGCTCCTTTAGAAGCACTTTGGTGTCAGGGCGTTTATATGCAGGGTCAAAGGTGTGCATTTTCCAGGCTAAGTTGGAATATCCTAGGTTCTTTTTGCTCTAGATTTTAGCCCTGGAGCTCTGAAGTCATCTAAACGCCCCACCTTCAAAGCAATTTGAAACCACTTTATTTGGCCCATCTGTTTCACCTCTTATACAATCAAGAATATTTTTCAGTAGTCCTGCTTTGCTTCCAAACTGTTAGGCACAGAGCCACCCTCATTCAGTATTTATAATTAATTCAGGATGTTTTAAAAATAAATTTTAAGATTAACTTCAGGGTTTACACTTTGCAGGTTTGTACTGTTCATTGGAATAGATATTATTCTATATTATATATTATTTAGAGTGTAACATCAGCCTATCTATGCAAAATACCTGGATTTATGGAATAGACAACAGTACCATAATCGTCTCCCACTACATCAGGTGCATATTCATTTCCTGTTGGCTGATAGAAAGGTTCTGGTTCAGGGGGAACCCACTCTAACAAAACACATAATGACATCATCATAATCAACATCAATATCACCACCACCACCACCACTACTACATTTTTAGGCTGCCTTTCCTCCAAGGACAGGATGACCAGATGTCATAACAGCAAAGGAGGGCAAGGCACTAGAAAATGCAGGGCATTCAAGAAAAATGTAGGACATTTCAAAGTAAAAGCTAGTATAAACACTAGTATAAATTCATTTCATATGGTTTATTTACAGCTCTCTCTCTCTAGTATTTTATTATGTCCTTAACCATATTTTTCTGATGAACTTATCTTTGAGAAAATGGCTTGTTGGCTTACAATATACTTATAGCACTCTGAGAAAGACAAATGTTTAAAAATTTACTTTACCAGCAACATACCCTTGATCAAATCTACATTTAAATTATTCCTTACATTTGTCCATTGTGCTGAAATTAAGGAAAAAACCCTTCCAACATTTGCACTGTGTCCTCAAGTAGCCTATTGCCTAACATGTTTGCTGTCCTTTTCTCCTCTGAGAAACAAACACACTCTGGTAGCAAGTCTTGTTTGCTGCTGCTCCTAGGAAAAAACTAACTCAATGTGCTTCTTAGTCATGCTCAGAATGGAGGACATTTTGGAATTCCTCCTGAATATAAAGTTGAAATGTAGGCTATGTCCTAGAATTGGAGGACTTCTATCTACCCTGCCTAAGGTCGAGACAGTGTTCACATTCTTACTCTCAATGCACTCTACTTCTAGTTTCACTTTCAGTCCCACAGCATTCCAATTATATTTTGAGGTAATGATAAAATAGATAGATAAGACTGAATACAAAATTAATACTTTAATTGGAAAAGCTTTATCTACCATAAAAGAACAGAATCTGGTTAAAGGAAAGCAGGCGAATATTTGTTCACACACTTCCAGGTAGGATAGGAATGACCAGGCAGAGGTTCTGATGGATCAGTCCCTTGGGTTTGTTATATAAAAAAAACTAGAGACCATTCTGAGAGGGTTTGTTATATAAAAAAACTAGAGACCATTCTGAGAGGAATATCATATTGATATCCGTATATTACACTAAGTTATTACAAGACATTGTTAATACAGAGATGCTTCCCAAGTTTCTTGGATGAGCTCATGAATTCAACCAATTCAATAAAATATTAATGATATGCAGTATTAAATTGTAGGCCAGACATCTTGGTCAACATACTGAAATGTATCATAATGCAGTTCTCAAATACACAGATACCAGTATTCATACTTTGTTTTACATTATTTTCCTATATAAAAACTGGTTTCCTAGACAAAACAAGCAAACTACAAAGTGTCCCCCTTAAATAAACTCCGTAACCAAACTGATACCATAAATCCAAAATTGGGAATATCCTACCCATGGAGCTATGTGTAAACTGGAAGAATGTTATGCTTTTGAGAAGCATCCTGAAAACAAACTGAATATATATTTAAAAAATATATTGCTCCAACAGTGATCTGTGCACTGTAAATTTGTATTAATAGAAACAGACGTTTCAATAAGTAACATTTACAATGAAAGACAGTAACATTTCCAGTTAAATTTATTTAAGCAAAATATTCCTAATCCAAGATTCAGATTACCAATGTGATGGATACTATCCTCAATTACTTCACACTCTATTGGCCAGAGTGGGGCCAAGACTGAATCCTTGCCACTGGGAAGAGAAGAAAGATTCCGAGGTTCTCGTAAGCGCAAAACACCAGGACCCTCTGGATGGTCAAGTAAAAGTTGCTTGCTCTTAAGAAGTGCAGCCTCTGGCATAACTGAACCTGTCAAGAAAAAAAAGCAAGTTTTAAGAATTGTTTTGCAGATGTGCAGGACTTAAAGATACATTCATTTTCAATAAATCAGTTTCTTCCCCACATAAAACATACAGCACACTTACAGAGTAGGTTCTTGTCTGAATTGTGTTCTGATTTACTTCTCTTGTTGAAGTTGCCTGCTTTCAACCCATCATGAGAGCTTTTCTCTCTGCTCTCAGGAGGAAAAGTTATGTTTTGAGGCATATTTATCTGATCTAAGAGGAAACATTGTTAGTATTATTGTGGGAACCCAAATGCATGAGCCATTTAGAACTTAATAATTTTACCTGAACTAATGGAGATAAAAGTTCCTTGCTACACTTGTGTTAACTACGACATTTTTACTATAAAATGTGAGTATTTTAAAACTAACACTGTACAAGGAAAACTCGTAATTTCTTCATAGAAAACTGGTAGTGGTGGTGTGTGGGATGTACTGTTAATGGAAAAGTTGGTTGTAAGATAAAAAGCTTTAAAAAACAAGACATTTTGTAAATCTTTCAAAGAGACTTGGTTCCCTTTCCTGGACTATGTTAACAACAACACCAATTGTCTGGACCCACCAGTTCATCACTTGGGTTTCTGAAAGAACACTATACAAAAGATTTCATAAAGGATTCATACTCTGAGACAGTAACAGAAGATCTTTAATTTCTCTTTCTAACTTTTATTTTGGCATTTGAAACACAGCTTCTACCGTTTGTTTTGTTGTTTGTTGGTGGAACTGCCAAATTTGTTCTTATTTAATTCATATATATTGTCTTGATTGACCTACAATAAAATTACTTTATTAAAAAATGTTTTCCAGATACATGGGAAAACAACAAATATAACACTGATTCCAAAAGAAGACAAAGATTTAACTCAACCCCAAAACTACAGACCAAAATATCACTTCTTAATTTGGACTATAAGATTTTTTTCAGCTATTTTAGCTAAAAGATTAAGGAATATATTACAAGATTGGATAAACAAAGACCAATGTAGTTTTCTACTTTAGAGACAGATAAAACAGAATATAAGAGTGGTATTGGACATAACAGAATATTATGATAAAAATCCTGGAAAGAAGATGACTATTGATAATATAAAGTCGAAATTCATGATAAGTCTAATGGAAAAACTTGAAATAGGAGAGAACTTAATACGATGAATCAAGAAGATCTACAAAGAACAGAATGCATATATAATAATAAACAGGATCAAGAAAAAGAAATGTGAGATTAAAAAAGGGACAAGACGGGG